TTAAAATTTCATAAGTTTGTTTGTCATCTCCCTCTTCATTGATGTAGGCTGAGACTAAATTAAGGATCTTTAGGCCTTTATTCAGCTTGTAATGTATGGCTAGGGTTGAGGTATGATTTGAGACAATATATAGCTCAAGTCACCCTAAACACATAATTGTTTTAAGACCTATGTAGCCTTATTTTTCTTTTCTAAGTACTCCGTTTTCTTTGCCTTTCATTTTTCTTCATAAAATACATTTTTTTATTCTCAAGTTAACACCTCCAAAACTTGTTTCTTTCTTTGATAATGGGATAAATTCTTCATAAAAATTTTTCATTTTTCTTTACACTTCATCTCTTCCTCCTTTTTTTTCTCTCATTAAATAGCTCCATATACATTTCCTAAAACAATATATATACTTAGGATTAAGGGTTGTAAACATTAGAGAAATTTTTCAAAGGCTAAGCAAATGTTCTTTATGTGTTTAAATCAAAGGACAATTTAAGCCCAAAGGGGTATACTAGGGATAAAAATTATAAATGGGTTGGCTTGAAAGGCTCAATCAGTCCAATGATGGCTTAAGTCATTTCCCTAAATAAGTATAGTCTTATGATTTCCTCTCAATGAAGAATTAAACAAATTCTAAAACTCTAAACATAGTTCTAAAATCTTCATTTACATAAACTTTCTCTAAATAGACATGATACTTCAATGCAAGAGATGTGATGCTCAAGTATGAAAATTTCATCCAATCATGATGCTAACATAAGACTTCACATGACATTCAAACAATATTCATGATTACTAAGAGCAAAATATCAACAAGATAATTAGTTATCATCATTGGATAGGTAAATCAATTTCATTGGTGCACTAATTATAGTTTAAGTTTTCAACATTTTCCTAAATTCACTTGCTTCTAAATTATCATGCTAAACAACTAAAATTAACTTCAAAAATAAGAAAATCATAAACATAAAAATTTAAAAACTTCCTTCTAAACTTAAAATGAACATTATTCTCAATGTTTCAAAAAGCAAAGAAGAGAAAATACTCTCCTAAAGTCATAGCTGCAATATACTAGTCATCCTCATCTTTCTCACTAAAGTCATCATCAGAGTCTGATTCCCTAGGCAAAACCCACACTCAAGTCATCAAGTTTCCAACCAAAATTTTCAAGAATGTCTACATACCCATCATTTAAGAAATATGTGGAGACGATGATAAATGGTGAATGGGTTCAAAAATGATTATAAGAACTTAATAACTCAAAAGAATAAGTGTTGAAGTAGTTGGGATGCAAGACTTATTGAAAAAGGAGGAATAAGGAGAGGTTGGAGCTATAAAATGGCAAAAAAAAAAAAGAAGAAGAAAAGGTGATTTAAACATGGTTAGGACTAGACCTCAAATTAGCGCCGCATGCCATGAGCTAACCTTGTATCAAACTATGATGAGGTAGAGTATTCTAAAAGATTGAGGCTTTTGTACTTGTAAGGGAAATGTCCCTCTTTTAAACATTATAAGGGCTCATGGTGACATATTTAAAAATACTTATTAAGTCTTTACGGGGAAAGACCTTTTAGGAAAAGAATGTTTTCATCTCAAGCTTTGTAATGGCTATTAGTAGAATACATGTAAAATCTTACAAACTCCTTATAGGGGATGAGCAGTCGGTGGATTGTTGGGTTGCCTCACTATTAAAAGTATGTTTATAGCGAATCATCTGTGGCTGCCCTTATAGATCGATGATGGCGTATCTTGGTCCCTTTATAATCATTTTCATATTGATAAAATATTTTTCCTTTTTATGGCTTAGTGGTTGCGTATATGGCATTTGGTATGGCCTATGATTTTGATGTGCATTTTCTTAGTCTGATTTGTTGTTATTATTAACGTTTGATCATATTTAACCGAGTATTGACTAGCTTGCATAGAAGAGTCCAATCAAGCACCGTACGGACTATTACATATTTAGGTAAAGAAATGTAGTGCATGATAATTGGTATCAGAACACGGGCCGAGATGTGCTTATCTAAAGAGTAAAAATGGTGACCATGTGAAGTGCACTAGAGAACCATCAAAGGATTGATGATAGTGGCCGCAGTGGCAGCAATAAAAGCTTGGATGATTCTGTCCGAACGAATAGATGAAATTGAGACAGTCTAGTGAGAATTATCCTAGATGATTAATACCCTGAATAATAAGACGAAGGATGCATTTAGCACTCTTTAAGGCGAGATTGGAGAATTGAAAGCTTAGGTAAATCTTTTGGTCATTGCTGCAGATAAAGTCAGTGCAAACTCAAGAGATCGAGGTAAAAGGGCCAAAGTGTCAAAGCCCAAGCGATACGAAGAGGTCAGAAATGCTAAAAGGTTGGAGAACTTCCATTATGATATGGAGCAATATTTTTGAGTGGTGTGCACGGAGTCGAAGGAGCACAAAGTGGCGATGGTTTCAGTATATCTTGTTTGAGACGTGAAGTTATGGTGGCATTTCAAATTCGTTGATGGTGAGTGCTGCATCAACACTTGGGTGAACTTAAAGTAGGAATTGAAGAACTAGTTTTTCCCTGAGAATGTTGAGTATATGGTACGACGGAAGTTGCAAGAGTTGTCATAAATGGGATCAGTGCTAGAGTTCGTAAAGAACTTCTCTACTTTAATGCTAGACATCAAGGATACAACTGAAAAAGATAAATTATTTTATTTCCTTGAGGGCTTGAAACCATGGGTAAGGA